TCTGTCTCACTGTGCTGCTCTGCTTTCACAGCTGCACAACTTTCCAACCATCAGACCAACCACATTGCAACGATTTCCAGAACATGTCCCCAAAACTCACCACCACGTGAGTTTTGGGAGGGGGGGGGGGCAGTCACAACCAGTGTGCTGTCACCAATGACAGTGCTGATGGCTAGGCTTGAAGGGCCTCCATAGAACAGGAGATTGCATTCATGTGATGAGATTAGACCTAACACGGACAAGCATGGTGCTTCATTTGCTGTCTGGACTACAGATATCTGATTAAACTGTGAACCTCTGGCTGAATTGCAAATAATAGTGTAATCCCACTTCTTTCTATGGAAAGAAGTGGGATTACATAGTGTGCTGATTCTCTGTTGTAATACACCAGATTTAAAAAAAAAGAAAAAAAAAAGCTGCAGTCTAGGTTTGTAAACTCTGTTCTTTGTTTTGTGTACTATACATATTCCTCAACTGCCGCTGTTATGTAATTGCCTGGTATGGAAACCCAGCCCCCACCTCTCTTACACACACCAGATTGCTTGAGCTTACACTGTGGCTGCCATGGAAACAAAGCCGAAGGCGTTATCTTTCTCTTCACGAGACCTTCCTTCTGACCAGTTTATCTCAAATATCGTCATGTTGTTGAAGGAAAACTGACAAAATTACACACCTTTCTACAGACAGTCCACCGGGGTTAAATAACATAAGGAGTGGCTGTGCTTGTAATGCAATAGGACAATTCAATAGGTTATGAAACAGTATATATGCAGCAGAATAAATATGCACGTACAAGGAAGCTTGAGTATGTGCTGATGGTCTCGAGCTGTAAGGCTTGTTTGTGGAAACAGATTTTTTGGTTTTTCCTCCACTATATTTAACTAAAACAAAAACTATATAAAAAAAGACAAAATATGCTGTAAGGCAGTAACTTCTCCGGGATCCAAAATGCCTCTCTACAAGTGCTGGAACGTTTCCTGAGCTTGGTTGCTGAGCATGATTTAAGGAGGCCAATGCGTGTGATTTGAAGTTCTTGTTTGGCAGTAAGCTCTTAACTAAATTGAGTTTGGTGGGTTCTAAAACTCCTGTCACGTGTATTACTGTAAGCTACATGCACTTTGGCTCCACTTTTCTTAAAGGCATCTGAGCTCAGAACACCATATCGAGCTGAATAGAAACTGACAGTTGAATCCATATACGTTAACTGCTTATCCATCCATTGTTGTGTGGCTATCCCAGCTGTCACAGGTAGAGAGGTGGGGCACACCCCGAACATGGCACAAGTCCATCTCAGGGCTTATACAGAGAGATAAACAGCTTGTAATTTCTTTAAATAGTCTTCTACACTATTTCTCCAGGCTAACTGAAGGGCATTCAAAGCTCTTCTTTAGATTTTGGCTGCCTCAAATCCAGGTAGGCATTCAATGCATTCGCAGTGAGTTTGAGATTACACTGAAAAATAAAGCCATTTCTAATTTCCAGATGGTATTGCATCGTGGATCAGAATTTGATGATATTTTGATGTGTTCATAATTCCGTTAGATTTGACAGTAGATAGATTGACTGAAGAGCCAGATGCATCTCTCCAGTCATGTGTCAGGTCTTTGCTAGATTTTTATTTTCCTGTTTCCTAAGGACATGACTTTCAGACACTGTTTGTCTGCTGTAGATAGCTTTTTTTTTCCACTTGCCACTTCTTCTGTCTTCTGCTTGTCCAGTTTTCTACATTTTTTTAAGGACGCATTGTACACCATACTGAGATATACAAAGTTTGCAGCTGATAGGTCTTTATGAAACACATTGCTGGTGCACCATTCTGTTTTATTCTTGTGAAACTGTATAATCTTTGGCATTTTTTAATAGATTCAGTTAAAGAAATTGGAACAAATCACATGTTTTTGTGACAGGCTGCCGGTAACAAAATGCCTAAGGATACAGTTTAAACTGAGTTTTTTGCTAATTTGTTTTATGTGTAGATTCACAAATGGTTCATCCCTGTGAGGTTAAGTGAGGTTAGGTTCCTTTTGTGGTGCTTGAATTATGCATAGGTCATTGGCAAATTGCCTAATGACAGAAAACTCCACCAAAAATCTGACCACTTCGATGCAAAATGTAAAGAGCCATTATTTTAAGGGGAAAACTGTGTCTAAGAAACTGTGAAAACCGCTACTGTTCTGGCCATCTGTTCTGAAAAAAGCATCCTCACTGAATGAAGCAGTTAGTTAACATGTTTTACCTTTTATGCCCCAGGTGTTCACCCCATGAACCTTGGAGAAAGTATGTTTTACAGCAGGTTTAGCAGACCAGAGCACTCTTCCAGACCAGCTCTTGGTCATGGTTTAATTTTCAGCAAGTGAAGCATGGCATGAAACGAACTTCCCAGGCCACCCGTGTTTATGATATAGCCCCTCAAAGCTAAACTAAACTATGTTTAGTTCTGTCCTAGTCATTTTAGACACACAAGTCAAAATCCATCTAAAATATTAAAACAGTAAAAACGAACTCCAACAACATAATGGCAACAATGATATAATGTTGTTGTCTGTATGTTTTATAATAAGTTATCACCAGGAAAGTTCTGGGCTTGAATCTCCTGGCGTGCTTGGTTTGCGTTTTCACCCTGTGTATGCACTCTCCTGCAGCAAAGACACACGTGTTAGGTCAACTAATGATTATTAATTGGCCAGACATGTTTACAGGGTTGATAATGTGAATAGAGTTAGTAAAAAACTTTAAGTGGTCAGTAAAACTAGAAAAGCACTACATAAATGCCAGAACACCATAAGTACATAAGGTCATTTGTTCCAGTGTTTCCAGACAGAAGAGGAATACTATGTGTCTCTCAGTAAATCATTACATTTTCACAATCCATTACTCGTCAAAAGTAATGTATGCAACAGATTCATGAGCAAAGGATAAATGGTGGAAACGATTCTAGTTACAAATGTGGCATCCACATGTTCTTTTTTTAGCACGATCATGAATGTGTCATGAAATCTCAGCTGAAGTTTTGCAGTTTTTTATAATAAAGTGGTGAATGGTAGGCTATAAACTGGCTATTTTAAAATTGGTTAATAAAATTTGAGCACCTGAAGGTTTACTTGTACAGAAGTGACAAAAAGTTTGTTTTTCTGACGGTGTCCTTTAAAAAAAAAAAAAAAGTGCTATTGTGCTTAAAACTCATACCCAACATGGTCTAACTTTCAAATAATGTTGTCAACAATACCGGATAAATAAACATCTCAGGGTGCTTTATATTGTGAGGTGAAGAGAGAACACCAAAGATGAGAAAAGCCACAAAAAGCAAACACTTGGCCTCAGTGGAGAGGAAAAACTCCCTTTTAACAAAAAGAGCTCACCAACAGAATCAGACTTAGAGAATACTGGGAGTACTGGTTGGAGGTGGGGGGAGGAGCATGGAAAGATCATGATCAGCAAACAGGACAAAAACAAACTACAGGAGCGAAAGTACAAAAGTTGGATATTATCGTTATTATGATTGCTTCCCAGTTAAAGTTAAATAACACCATACTACAAACCACAATCTGAACAGTTTCTGGGGAGTTGTTCCAACTTTTAGGAGACAACAAGAGTAATTCATCAAAGTATGATACATCAGATGGTAAATACGTCACTCCAGTTCTGTACATTTGGAAAATATCGTCCACATGTAAATAAAAAGTATTTACTCTTTCAGACCCTGTTGATCACTAGGAAGGTTCAGATGTGTTTCACCCCGTCTAACTTTCCACTAATACACGCTCCATAGCTGATACATGAGGATTCCTCACGCTTTTGACTTGATAAACATTTACCATGATTAATTCAAGTCAAGCATTTTAATGCATCCAGTAATAATATGTGTGTTGTTCATAACAATTGCTGTGTGACACATTATCAATGCTTCATATTTGCTTTGAATCTCCTGTCACTGCAACAATAGGGCCTTATGAACAACGAAAGGAGGGAGGACTCTATCCAAAGCCATGCATGTTTCAAATCTTTGCAAATTGATTTTCATGGGGGAGTAACATAAACAGACTAGCGGCTGCCCGACAGAAAAATTTAATACACTTCTGCATGCTTTGAGAAAACGATAAGCAGTCGTGCAAAGCAGAACTGAAAGTGATTTGTGTAAACCATGAACAAGATGGGGAGAGGATGACCTGAGGAGCTGTCATGTCAGGACTAAAAGTTTGGCATCAAATCCACACTGAGCATCGAGCACTCTTATTTTGGCAAGAAAACATGTTTGGCATGTGCGTGTAGGGAATAACTCACTCTCATCAGCTCAGATTTATTACAAAATGAGAGGCACCATATGTGGGTCTACGTTGTGGAGGTTTTAATTGAATTTGAATCCTTAGTACAGTATGCATGTGCTTTTTAATGGAGCAATGGAGATTAGTAATCAGCCTTGCTTATTAGTTCAAGTTGTGTAATGGTGACACAATTTGAGCCATTTCTTTTTTACTATGATAGCTAAATAGTATTGTACAACTTCTCGAAATGAAGCGCCTTCCCTTTTCCATTGAATTGCTGGTCTTTAGACAGACTTTAGTACAAAGGCTGCCATCCTGTCTTTACTTTCTCAACCTACTTTAAGCCTCTAGCTTATCAAAGCTTGTGATTAAAACAACAGACCAGAAAGACAATCACACACTATTTTTGGACAGGCCTGTGCTAGAGTGAAATCTACTGTGATGTCCTTAGCACAATCAGTGTGTTCAAGCTTTAACATGAAATGATAAACCTACCAAAACCACTCTAAAGGTTCAGCGTAATCTTGTGCTTGAGTTTTTAAACTGAGAAGGGGAGTGTGGCTGTAATTTGTCTAAATTAATCACAGTTTGTTAAACATTACAGTGCATTTTCCCTTAATGACAGTCACATTTCAGGGATTCGTGTCAGCTGACAGTCCAGTGTCATGCGAACTTGTTCCTGTTGGAATAGAACTCCAGATAAAATGAAGTGTGTGGGATTAAGCTGCAAACAAGGCATACATAAAAATGTTAGCAGTTTATTAAAGAGCGCAACAATTACAATTGTAAGAAGAGATAAAAACAGACATGCATCGTTTTATAAAACCTACAAAAGTAAACTGGCTTACATAGTAACCTTACCCATCCACAACCACTATCGAGACAGAGGCCAAGATTGCTTAAACATTCAAACGCCTTTGGGTTTTTGTCCTTTGGGGAAATGTAACAAGAGCTCCAGGAAAACGCTGCTGTACTTAAATTTCCTTTAGTACAAGTTAAACACATTGTGTTAGTGTGCATCTATACAAATGATCAGCTACTGTGACACCAAGACAAAATGTGGCAGTGTTTGTGTCAGTTGAATTCACAAAGAATGCAGGAATACTCAAATCATTATTTCATGTTTCAAGTAGAAATTTCAAAAAATAAAGATTGGTTTGTCGAGTCTTGAAACAGACACAGAGCTAAATACAGTACTGCTAATGATACTTTTGTTTTAAACCGTTCACTTGCTGTAATTTGCGGGCTCTTCGCCCTCTTCTTTGAGCAAACATGTGCGCACCAGTGCCTCTGTGACAGCGTAAGGATCGCAGTTAGCGGATGGGCGACGGTCCTCGAAGTAACCTTTCTTGTCTTGCCCCACTGAGCGAGGAATGCGGATGCTGGCCCCACGGTTGGCCACGCCGGCTGAGAACTCATCAATGCTCGAGGTTTCGTGACGACCAGTGAGACGTCTGGCGTTGTCGAGCCCACCCTTGGGATCGTAGGCCCGGATGTGATACCTGTGTCTTTTTGCCAACTTTTCAATGGATTCCTCGATGACTCTGAAGATGAGAGTTAGAGTTAGAAACACACCAAAAACCCACATTTCATTTATTAAACTTAACTGACTTTGAATTCATCCTTACTTAAGCCCGCCATCCTCTCTCATCTCCTTTGTGCTGAAGTTGGTATGGCAGCCAGCTCCATTCCAGTTCCCTGGGATAGGCTTGGGGTCAAAGGACACCACAACACCAAAATCTTCACAGACTCTGTGAAGGATGAAGCGAGCAACCCACAGGTGGTCTCCCATGTCGATACCTTCGCAAGGCCCAATCTGGAACTCCCACTAAAACACAACAAAGAAGGCATTGTTAACAGTTACACTAATAATTACCGGTTTTTACACACTGCCTTTGTCATGATGGAAAATTACCTGTGCCGGCATGACTTCAGCATTACTTCCATAGATCTGAACCCCAGCATACAGACAAGCTCTATAGTGCGCCTCCACTATGTCTCGTCCGTACGCCTTATCTGCCCCGACTCCACAGTAATAAGGCCCTGATTAAGTGGAAACAGACTAAACATTAACACTCAGCTGGGATTACTGATGTATTATAATTCAACAAAATGAGCCAAGTTAGAGGCCGACATTCACCTTGTGGACCGGGGAAGCCGTTGGAAGGCCAACCAAAGGGATGTCCATCTGTGCCCAGGATAGTGTACTCTTGTTCCATACCGAACCATGAGTGGTTGTTTTCCACCATGTTCATAATCTTCTTACAGGTGTATCGGAGGTTGGTCTCTGTTGGAACAGAGTCAGAAATTAGCTAAAACTTAAGACGGCTTAAAATCTCATGACGCCCCGGTTTGTAAATTTCCACTCACCTGCTGGTTTGCGGTTGTACTTGAGCACTTCACAGAGCACCAGCTTATTAGGGTCTTTTCTGAATGGGTCCCTGAACATGGCAGCAGGAATTAGGTACATGTCACTGTTGGAACCCTCTGACTGGTAGGTGCTGGAGCCGTCAAAGTTCCACTCAGGGAGATCTGGCAAAAAACAACAACAACCCTGTTCAAAAACCTTCTTAAAACATGTCGCCATCCGTGCTTTTTTATTTTCCTGAATCATATTGATCATACTGGAACTACATCTTACCTTCTATTGTCTTGGGTTCAGAATCCAGAGTTCTGGTCTTACATCTCAGTCCCTCTCCAGATCCATCTATCCAAATGTACATGGCTTGTACCTTCTCCCCCTGAGGGAGGCTCATGTACTGCTGTTTAACTGCTTTGTTCAGTCTTGAACTCGCTGAGGTGGCCATTTTCTTGACCCTGAAAACCTACAGAGATAAATGGACGCATGATGAGCTTCAATTCAGATCAATGTGTATGAAGGCATGTGTAAAACAGCAGGCAGGATGTCAAAAATATACACAGAACACAGGTAAGTACACGTAAGTACCTAAATGCAACTGAAATCTCCATCACAACTGATTATACAACAGGTTCATCTGTGATCAACCGGCCTGATCGACTATTGCTCTCACACAAACAGCTGTTTACTAGGAGCTCGCGCAAGTGGAAAAATACAACACAAGCGCAAATGGACGTTAGATGCAAGTTAACACTACTATCATTGTTTTTCCTCGCACGCACAAATTCTAAAAGCATTTAAAAAACGATTCGATTCAATTAAAAAACACGACTTACCTAATGTTAAGTGTAAGAAAATATTAAAAGCTGTACAGAGTCTATGGATGTGTGTTTCCTGTGTAGGTTTCTATTGTTGTTCATTCCTGCTGCCCCTCACCGCGTCCCCTGTTGGATTTATAGTCCTGCTCGAACCACCTGATTGGTGGAAGGAAAACGTGATCAGCCCGTGACGCGGAGGAGACGTGTGAGCGAGTGTGTTTGCTCTCTGTGGCTGTGGCAGCAGATAACAAAAGGAGAAAAAAAATCACTACTTGTTCATGTTTCTCACATGAGCGCGTGAAGGCACTCCCGTGGTTAAACAAAACAAACCGGCTTAAACTGTAACACGCAAAGTGGGTAAAACGACAGTTTTCATCCACAATGAGTGTCGGCTGGCCTTGGAGAAGCGATAAACAGCATTGCGCCCTCCACCGACTGCTCGGTGTACTGAAAAGATCAGGCTGTTCCCAAAGGTTCACATGTTTGGGAATCATTTAAAGCAAGGTAACATATAGGGAACATTTACCACACGTGACCTATAAATCCGATGAAATTCGCATTTGCAAACCCATGAAAATCGTTTCATGTTATGCATTTTGTCATTTAATGATGTGAAATATCTCACAAGGTTTGGACCTTGTAGTGACGCCCTAGAAAAGCTGATTGCGGTGTTGCAAACACTGCTGTTTTTATGGGAGGTTAAAAGATTTAGCAACACTGAGCAGTTCTGTTGTTTGACACTGTCTTACATGCTGTGCTGCAATGCTTTACCACACCTACGTGCTACACATGTAAATATAGTACAGTACTATTGAAATTAATATTGTGGGATTTATATCTACCTGCTTGGGTTTTATATATCTGGACTTAATAAAAATCAGCTGGTCCCTACTATGACTTAAAATTAGATAACATGTGTGGAAGAATAAAGCCTACCTTTCCTGCTTCCATCAGAAGTAAGAGGATAAGTAAGGATAAGGATAAGTAGTAACAAGAAGTACTTGATGAATTATTATGATATTTTGCCATAATGCACAGCACCATGTTTATAGAAAACCAACAACAGCATTTTAGAACAAAAACCTCATATCAACTGTAAAGTATCTGGAGGGGTGATGATTTGGGCTCATTTTGCAGCCTAGGCAGATTGCAGTCATCGGTGCCTAGGTCGACCATGAACTTCTTTTTTCTCTTTTTTGTTCTCGAGTCAAAGCTGTACAGATTTATCAACTTTTTAAACATTTGTTTTCAGTTTTTCTTTTCAGTGAATTTTAATCCAAGCTAGTTCTAGAGACAGTTGCTTGTGTCACTGTTGTTTCAGAGTTTTATTCAAACATGTTTAGATTTAATTTAATAGTTGCCCTGTTAGTTTAACTATTTCTAAAATTTGAAATCAGGTTATGCATATGTCACAACATTTCTTCCATGTTTTTCTATACATATGGATAATTCTGGCACCAATAAAAGACGTTTGGGGCTGACAACCAATATAAATTGGTTTAGGTTATTAAACCTTAAACACATTTTGTAATATGATGGCCAAAAATAACAGGGAAATGCATACTCCTGCTAAGTGAGGTAACAGAGTGTCTCCCTTAACTACATGTGAACCAGTCATGGTTACATTACCTCCAAATAGCCCTTTAGAAAGTGAAAACTAAAAAATATTTATTATAGTTTGTTTTGTGAATATAATTTCAGTCATTTTTCATTATTTCAAGCCTAATATGGGACTCTCGTGCAATAAACGGGAAGCTATAGCTCCCATTTTATCAATAAATGAGGTCAATAAATGTGAATCTTCTTTTTAAATTCCTAACATAGACTATGATTCCAGAAGGTGGATTGTGTTGTCTACAGTCTTATATTATCACACGATTTATTTATTTATTTTGTGGTTGAAAGAAAATGCTAGCAAGGGTCCATATTGTGGTCTGCTAACCACTGGTTCAGACCACTTAAAAAATCAAGTGCAGATCCCAAAGTTGTATGTCATGCTGACTGTTGGAAAGATGTATTTAAGAAGATAGGCATCTAATGTATCAAATGTATAAGTTGGCTAGTTTTTTAACAAAAAACAGAAAGTCTGAGGTCTAAATTTAAAAAGACAGCATGTTTGTTGCTGAGAAAATCCCTGCAGGCATATACAGTACTATCCAGAAGTCTTGATACACCCCTCCTTTCTTTATATTTTGCTTCCAAGGAGTCCGACTTTCTTGTCGTTTTCAAAATGGTCTTGAGAAATACATCTCCAGGCTTTCTGAAGGACTTTCAAAGTGTCCCTTATGAATATTGGCTGCTTTTTACACTCACTTTCATTCCAGTTCTTCTACCTGACCATTTTCAGATGAAACTTTTTGTATGTTAAGCAGCTTAAGACCTGTACTTGACCTATGAATCATTCAAGGGCATCTACCTCAACAACTAGTTATGTGTCTACATATAACAGTCAGTCAGCTTAGCAAAGAACCAATTCTCAAAGGTGCACTTTGCTACAAACGGCCTGTTACAAAAACACATAATTTCTTCCTCTCATTTTTTGGAGACGGGTTTTCTGTTGATCATTGCAGCTAGGATTGTCCCACAGATGCAAATGATACGATTCTGTACTGGAGCACGGCTAGATTAACCTCATAATGTGCCCTGGAGCAAAATGTCAAGTTCATAATTTCCCCAGGCAACCAGGTACCCGAATGAAGAGCTGAAATAAATGCTTAATCAAAATAATAATTAACTGACAAAAATTAATTAGGAACATTTGATAATCTGATAGCGTCTTCTCAGTAGTGAACATATGCTGGTTTCCAAATTTTCTGTTACTCTTACATAGAAAAACAAATCCTCTCAAAGTTACAGTGGATCTGTTATGATGGTCATCTCAGACACAAAAACTCTGGCTCTAAGAGACCCACCCATCTTCTGCTTATGAGGGGCAACCAGTCAGAGGAAATATAGCTGGCAGTGATGGTGGAGGGACTACCTTCAAAGGGACAGGAGCTAAAATGACTTGTTTCAGACCGAGGATGATTTAAAGGGCTGGACCAAGGAGTATAAAATAATGATTATTTCAAAATGTAAATCATGCAAATCCACATTAGTAGAGTTAAACAGCAAAAACGGTTTGCTTTCGAAAGTGGATGAACTGAGATACCACAACTAGGCCCAGTATAAGATAAAGATTATTTTGAACTGTGAGTCATGCGAAGTAGAGCACAAGAATATAAAAATGTTGTACATATGAACATAATATGCACAATGTAATATGCAGTTTTCTTCTTCTTCTTTTTTTTTTTAGAACTGTATACATTAATCAATCGATTATCAAAGAAAATTCTCCATACTTCAGTGTGACTTTTGCTGCACAACAAATAACTTCAGTAGAAACTGGCACATGTGGGGCATTTGAGCAGGTGTATTGAACATTTACAAAAAAAAAAAA